CAGACACCTCTCATTCCCAGAGCGGACTCCACCTTCTGACTCCCATTTTCCATATTTTGGTCATGAATGGAACTATTGGAGAGTGGAGGCAGAGGAGGGGGCTCTGAAAGCTTAGTCTTACGGGTTTCAGTCTGTGTGAAGCCCACTGAGTGAGGCTTCCTGGGGTGTATTCTGAGAGACATGTGGCTTCTCTAGGGGGCTAGGAATTGCAGGGAGCTCCCTGACTGGTGATCCTCAGTGCACTGAGCTCAGGGCTAAGACCAAGTGAGTTGGGTTATTCTGTGTCTGTGTCTGACCCTCTGCTCTTACTGTCAACATGGACATAGAGCCATCCCCATTCCTGGCTGAACACTGACCCATGGTTCTTGGCGGTTGCCGAGACACCCAGGGGACATGCCTTCACTGCTACAGTGTTGACTGCGGACAAGGGGTCCCAGAGAGTCTGTCACTGCTCAGCCAAAGCCAAAGGCCAGCTTGATTCATGAAATTCTAAGTTTGTTTCTGCAAATACTGGACAGAAGGACACAGTAGGGTTTGCTACCTCTCAACTGGTTCAAAGATTCAGTGAATATCAAGCAAGTCATATCCCTTAAACGATGTGATCAGAAACAGGCATTGCTATAGTCCCAGGAGGTAGTTAATAGGTTCTACAGTGATCAGAATGAGGAGCCCTGGTGGTGTAGTGGTTATGCATTGGGCTGTGAACCGCATGGTTGGCAGTTTGAAACCACCAGCAGTTCCTTGGCAGAAAGACTGGGCTTTCTCCTCCTGTAAATAGTTATAATAATAATAATAATAAACGATTACAATCTTGGAAGCCCACAGGGAGTCACTGTGAGTCAGCACTGACTCTATGGTAATGTGCGCATACAATCATCAGAGACTTTCAAGCAATGGGACAGAAGGGAGAAAGGTTCACAGGAAAACAGTGTGCATGTCCCCAAAGGATTATCAGACCATCCATTGATATCTTCATCACTCCCAGTGCAAAAGTCAGATCAGAACCCAGAACCTGCTAAGGTTTCAAGCTCCACTGCTTATCTAAATGGCTCTGCTTCCCCTTTCTTGAGTTAGAACATCTTTATGAATGAAGTTTACAAGGAATTTTGACTACAGGAGTGGGAGCTACCACAGCCCGGGTCCCTTTGACCACCCAAAGCTCAACAGGCCAAACCCCAAACGATGCAACCTTTTAGTCTTAGACTCACAGAGGGTTCACCCTTTCACCCCTCTATCAAGAGGACCCACCAAGCATGCTGGGTGCTGGGAGGTGAGAGAGGGCATTTCCCACGGATGGGGATGCTGCTGAGAGCAAGCCAGGTCATTGGAGCTTTCCAGAGCAGCACTGCCCCCACAAATGGCTGTTGGTGTCACAAATCCAGCACTCACCCTGACTGGTGCTGGCACTGCCCTCGGTGGCTGCCAGACAGAGGGGTTCTCAGGTACCTGGAGGTGGGAGCGAACTCACCATGCCTAGGGGTTTGGGGGAGGGGGACCCAGGATCCTCAGCGCATTGTGGCTGGTCGCTGAAGCTGGGCGGCTTGATGGCTTTGTGTTTTACCAACAAGATTTCCTTCCCTTCAAGGCTTGTCTTCTTCTTTCTAGGGGTGTCATAGGAAAGCAGGGGTACCAATGCCAAGGTAAGAGGTCCTGTCTGAACGAAATCCTTGGAGCCTAAGCTCCTGGGAGGCACGCTCTGGGGCCGGTTCCCGTGGAGGCTCTGCATGCGCCGCTCCCTCCCAAGAAGGGGAACCCTGCTTGTCTTTGACTCTTGACTGGCGATTGCCACCCCTCCCCGTGTGTCATCTCCCTCGTGGGTCGCACCTAGCTCCATGAGTCCTGTGGCCTTAGGATCCCCCCCACGCCCCCCCCCCAGACATTCATGTGTCAATCATTACAGGTTCCGCCTTCCCAGGGCAGCACAATGCCCCCACTAGAGGCTGTTGGAAAGCCCACATCCCCCCGAACTGGGCTCTGTGGCTTCTGCCAGCACACATGTGCTTACACGCCCCAAACTTCTCCTTCCCCCAGCTGCTTACTCCAGGGCCCTGGATGGCCCAAGCTGATCAGCTTTTCTGTCTCTCCTGGGCAATCATTAGCTTTGGAAAGTGTAAGGCTCCTTTGAAAGAACTGAGCGTTCTCCCGTCCCCTTCCGTTAATTGGCTACAAATGCGTGTCAAGCTGTACTGAACTGGAGGGTGGCAATGCGCTATGGTCATGTTGAGGCTTCTGTGCGGTAGGAGGTCGGGCTGCCCTGGCTCCTCACCCAGCTCTCTGGGTCCCCTGGGGAAATAGCCGAGTCCCCTTGCAGATGTTGCCAGTCCATGCTGTCCCAGAGCATGAGGGACAGAGCTAGCAGCCCCTCCTGGTGGCGGGGAAGGATGCCAAATGAAACTGGCATCTGAAGATAGGACGTGCCTATTCTTCCCCATCGCGGTGAAGGCATGGTGCTTTGAGACACTGCGTGAGGCCAATCAATGAAGGCTTGGTGACAGAGACCCCTTCTCGCCCCCACACCGGAGTCCGTGTGGGGTGAGAAGGTCCCCGTCCAGCTGGCCTGAGCCTCTGCGTCCCTTGCCGTTTGCAGTGTGCACGTGCGTGGTCCACAAGCGGTGCCATGAGCTCATCATCACCAAGTGTGCGGGGCTAAAGAAACAGGAAACCCCTGATGAGGTAAGAAGCCCCTCCTCTACCACCCTGAGCTCCCCAAGGAAGCATGTGCTCCCTGAGATCCCTTCTCCCTCACTCTGGGCATCTCAAACTAAGACTCTCTTAGTACGGGCTACGATGGGCAGACGGAGCATGGCTCCGGCCCATTTGCAGTGTGCAGCGGCTTGGCCCAGAGCAGCCCTGTCCCAGAGCTGGGGTCCGCAGGAACATGTAGGTTCACCTTGAGTCTACGACATTGTCTCATTGAACCCGGGACGAAGCTAATGGATATTTCCATGGCTCCAGATGGCCCAGATACGGGGACGGGGACACAACACACAGTCAGGGAGCTTGCCTTTATGAGGTGCTGGGGGACTGGGAGGGAATGAACAAATCCAAGAAATACTTAGGAGGCAGAAATCACCACAGTCATGATCATAAGGCTAGCCAACCTTCACGAAGCGCTTGCAGATAGTGATTCCCTGCCAGCCTGACAGAGGGAGATGCGTCTTCACTGTGCAGCGTGAAAGACTGAAGGAAGGTGCCTCAAACCACACCCCGAGGTGCCAAGAGCCACCACACTCGGTCCCAGGGAGTCCATTCCAGAACCTGTGCCCCGGCCACTGCACCGTGTTATTCATCCTGTGAGAAATGAATGTTGGGTTGCCTACTAAGAACCGTGTTAGGGACTGAGGAAACAAGAGCTAGCCTTCTCCAGTCTCAGTGTAGACTGAGAAACGTTGTTGAGGACGATGGCAGATGCGTGTGTAAGTCTAGGTGTACCTGTGTGCCGCGTGGTTCATTTCCAAGGCATGCTTTTAGTGCTAGGGGAAACGCAGAAGAGATCAGACTAAGCCCGTGGATTCTGGGGCTCGGAGTTGTCCCACTCAAACGAGAAAGGGGGTTTGTAATCAGCAGGGTTTACAATTTGACTTTCCAAAGGAGGGGCTTTCAGAGGACCCCGAAGTTCACACAAACAGAACCTTGGCCTCCCAAGCGTCCCCCCTCATTTGTATCCTTTCCTTTCTTACCCTTTCCGGAGAGGGTTGAGGACGAGGGGCTAGCCCGCAAGCTCTCTGAGTCCCTGAAGGGCAGGCAGGCTGTGTGGGTGGCCAGGACTCCCTGCAGGGATTCTATTGGCATGGTGGCAATGACAAGCCCTACCTCCTGGCTTGGCTTTGCATCACCTGGGTCCGAGGTGGTGCCCTTGTGACATCTGCATATAAATAGAAGCTGGGCAGCTTCCTTGCTGCCTGCTTGTTCCTGCTCCCTCCCTCCTGGCATCGTGACACGCCTGTGGAAACCGAGAGGAACAGTACGCCTGCCCCCGCTCCCTCCTGTGGACCTCGCTTTCACCCCGGGTCTCTCTGGAGCGTGTATTGTTTTCTACGCCCCCTCTGCTCTCTTGCTGACCCCCCACAGTTCTGCGAGGTTAGGCTGGACAGGAGGTGTTAGCCAGGTGAGACGTGAGGCCTGAAGCAGTCAGGACACCCGCATGTCCCTGGACGCCTGTTCCCAGTTCCTTCCCCGTGGTCTTGCCTCCTTCCTTTGAACAACCAGTAACCGGCAGCAGTGGCTCCAAAGCCTGGCTCTGAATCCAGATGAAGCCCTGCTCTCCCCTTGGCAGCGTACGGGCAGGTTTCCAAATCCGACGGTGCCTCGTTTCCCCATCTCTAGGGATCATCATGGTGTCTCCCCCATGACAGCCGGGGGGGTGGGGATGAGGTGAAAGGAAGATGGTGGTGCCGGGCGTGTGGTCCCCATGGAAACCAGAATGCTCTTGGTGGTCTGGACTCAGTATTAGCCGTCCCTCTGATAAGAGCCATTCACCCTGATTTAAGACCCACTATTTCCAAAGCACGGACCCGGTTCTCACCGTGAAGCGGCTGCAAGTCTGTGTGCCTGAGGCTTCCAGGCACAGGGGGGCATCGCATGCATGGAGTTACAAGACATGTAACTCCGGTGCAAGGGCGGAGCTGGAGTCCAGGAGGGGGCTGCTGGGAGGAGAAGACCTGCCCTGAGAAGTCTAACAGAGCTTCACAGAATGGGTTCAGGGCATCAGGAACATGGGCTCCGGGGGAGGAGGAGGAGGGCATTCTTGATCTCGGCTCACGGGGCTGCCATCTGTGATGACTTTGGCTTTCGGGTGATGAGTCCTGTGTGTGTGTGTGTGTTCCCACCGCGTGAACCGCAGGATGCACCAGAGCTCACCGCTGACTCCGTTTTGCTGTCCCTGCAGGTGGGCTCCCAGCGGTTCAGCGTTAATATGCCCCACAAGTTCAGCATCCACAACTACAAGGTACCCACCTTCTGCGACCACTGTGGGTCCTTGCTCTGGGGCCTCTTGCGGCAGGGCTTGCAGTGTAAAGGTAAGTCACCCTGCACTGCCCTTGTCCCTGTCACCTGCAGCATCCTTTTGAGTCCTTATGTTAAAGCATCACTGTTCTTGTAGCCCAGAAAGACAGGAATAGGTTGGGTGCGTGGACTGAGTGAGCCGGGGTTTGTATCGTCTCTGCACATGGAAAAAGCAAGCTGGGTGCAGGCTGGGCCTTGTCCAACACTGAGGCTGGGGGAAGCTGTGGCCCCACTCACGAAGATGGTTCCTAGCAGGAGAACAGTAAGCTTCTGGCGTTTAGAAATACTTTCGGGAGTGTAAGAAAATAAGTATCTTTGAAATTAGGCCCTAAAGGAAGTAGCAGGCATGGCCCAGGGTTCAGAGGTGCCTCCTGGAGGGAGCTAGAGGCGGCCACCTAAACTGCCTAACCCTTCCCTCAGCCTGCAGCCTGGGTTGACTTTTGTCCCTGAGACCCGGGGGAGGGATTTCAGGCTCGGAGATGGCACAGCTTGCCCTTGCCACCTTATTCACAGAAGAAGTCAGATTGGAATCTGGACCGCTCTTTAATCCTGGCGAGACACAGAATGAAAACACGCAGTCTGGTGTCTTAGCCGCCTGCAGCGCCTGTTCCTTTGGTACTCCTTCCGATCCAGAACCCCTTGACGGCCCCAAACAGAGCCCTGTCGCCAGCAGGAACAGTGGGGTTCCTCCCTCTGTGTCCCCCGTGGCTCTGCCCCAGTGGCTGTGCTGTGGCACAGGTGTGTCCACAGAAGGCGGACGGTGCTGTTCCCTGCCATGGGGAACACGAGGGAGGAGCACAGGTCTGGGGCAAAGAGAGCGAGTTGAGTTTGGGACAGGTTAG